AGTGTCTCATCTTTGCCTTGACGCATGATTCGCAGAAGGGATTTCGGTATCTGTGTGTAAGCAAATGAGCTATGGAGTTGGCGTCCTTCTTGAGGACTCCCACTTTCCTCTTTATTGATGATCCTTCGTACACGTCTATTTCGATTCCGGCATCTGGATCATCTTCGTCAGCCTCTTCCTCGTGAGCTTCGGCATCACCATGTCGATGCGGGACTGACCCAACATCTACAGGTATTTCCTCAGCCACGGGAGGCGGACGTACCGGACCGGCTCCTCCGGGTGGCCCGAAGTCGAATGCCCCGTCGTTGTGTTCGCCCTCGGCCTCTGCGGACTCACCGACAGCGGCGGGTGTGACGTCGTTCTCATCGTCACCTCCCTGATCTGCCTCGTCGTTCGTTACCATCGCCAATACTTCCGAAAAGTGCTCCTTGAGGTCGACTATCGTAGGGCGATGCCTGTTACTCCGAAGTTTACCATCACTCACTAGGTACGGGATGTCGTCCTTGACCTGCAAGTGCACGAATCCCTGCTTTGGCGTAACCATGAAAGGTAGTTTACCAGGCATCCAGTGAAATGCATAACCCATCTTCATGCATCTCCTCCCCACTGACAATACCGAGGGTGTCTCATCCAATACATGCGGCTCGACAGTCTCGTCCAACTCGTCCACGACTATCTTGGCCACATCAGATGTGGAAGTGGAACCATTCGCGGTCTGGAACACGATCTCGTCGTCATCTTTCACGATGTCGACACCCAGGCTCATCGCCTTGGCTCTTCCGATGAGATCATGACCACATCCGGTGTCCATCAACCATTTCACCCGTTTGCTGATGCACGTTGACATGGCGAAAACGTTCTTCGGCATACCATGCTGCTTCTTCCAGTCGACAGCCGATTCCCTGATCTCGTCCTTGTTCCGATCATACTCGAACATTATGCTGCTCTCCTTGGTCACCGGGAAGTAGTGCTTCTTATATACATCATCCACCACTTCTCTCAGTATCTTCGCACGTATCAATGATCGTTGGACTTGATAGGCTGATAATTCACGATGATCACTGCTCTTGAACTTCTTCTCATCGACGTACACGTACTGATAAGGCTCATTCTCATTGTCCTCATAAACGTACCATTCCCCTTTTCGTTCCCATTGCCTTCTCTCGTCTTCGAGGTAGGTGATCTCCCCATTCTCGTCGACGTCGAGCACTTCCTTGAACCACACCATTTTCTCGGGGATCTCGGACACGCCAGACCATCTCGATGATTCGCTCATCGCGTCGTCATCGTGCTCGTGGTAGATAGTCTCGGCTTCGTCCGGTTCGACATGATCAACGTCCTTCTTGAAGCTTACCTTCCCCGCAGGAGCCGATTGCTTCAGGACTATCGCGGGCATTGCGATGGCCCTCCTCGCAATGGCTGGCGCTGCGGCTTGGGCGGCAGCCTTCGACTTGGCTTGCGCCTTGTCATTTGACGTTGCTGGAGCTGAATTGTTCTTGATGAGCTCATGCCTGTACTTACAAGCGCTTCCCCTAGCGCACTTCCCCTTCTGAAACGCGAAGCATGCTCCATCATCCCTCTTTGGTGACGATGATCTGGACTTGGATTTGCCCTTTCCTTTCCCCTTGGACATGCTCTCCAACTTATGCTCCGTCTTCTTGCTGTGGGAAAAAGTGCATTCATTCCCTTTCACGCACCCCCTCGCCGATTTGAAGTGGTACCAGCAGGGGTTATCCTTGCTTCCGCCCGGACTCTTGCCTCTGTCGCTGGCACCGTCGGACTTGCCGTTCTTGCCAGCGTGGCCCTTTGCCTTGGCTTTTGGGAGCACAGGAGCGGCATCAGGTCCACCGGGTTTCCCCTTTCTGCCCTTGCTTCATCATCGACTTGACCGATTTCTCCTTCATGTCGAGCATCAGGTCTTCCCGATCTGCCTTGATCTGATAGTCGATCAACGCCAATAAGAATTCATACGTCTTCTGAGGATGCTTGTCCGGTAGTCTATGGTAGGCATTGAGGCCGAATTCCATCTTCTTGCTCCCTTTGATCTTCCTGTAAAAGATGTCTCTGAGAGCCAGCTTACTGGGTCTGTCCTCGCTCCTCATCTTCAGCAGCAAATCATACCATTTGTTCCTGAACATGACCAAGTTCTTGTCGCCAGGAAAGTCAAGGTTGAATAGATGCTCGATGTGGTAGACAAGATCCGTCCTATCGGAAGTTCTGAATGATTGCATAACTAATGCCACCAACTCTCGTCCCTTCACGATCACCCCTTGTTGATGTCGTAGTTCAGAGTGTCGTGTAGCATCGAGGTAAACGTCCTTGGCTTCGTCAGGTGCTTGTTTCAGCATGTTCTGCATGCCCATGGCCATCTTAATATCTATCGTAGCAAATCTGTCGCCACCTGAATCGCTAAGCAAATCCAGGTCTGGGTTCAACCCAAGAGCCTGCTCCAGCCATTTCGTCCAAGCGTCGGTATCTGGATCTGCACATGCGCTCAGAACATTCATCAGCAGTTGCATCTTCCAGGTGTCAAGTTGATGGATCTTTGGCCAGGCCGGAATAGATACTCTCTCGGCCTCTTTCCTCGAGATTCTCGGTCGATCAGTCTTGATCTCTCGGTTATCTCTCGATCTCCTTCGTCTCCTCCGTGTCCGATCGTCTTCTTCCTCTTCTTCTTCCTCGTCTTCTTCATCTCCTTCGTCGTCGTCATCCTCATCCTCATCATCGGGTGGATCATCCGGGCTCAACTGACGTCGACCCGCTCCCTGCCCATTCCCATTGGGCGGGAATCCACCGTAATCCAATGGGGGCGTAGTACCGTTGTTTCCCCCCCCATTACCACCACCAGTCGTAGTAGTGGATTGTGGGACATGCCCAACAACCCCTTGCATCTGGGATAGGTGTACATCGATCATTGGATCACCGAAAGACGGAAAGAGGATCGAACCTGGCATCAGCGACGAATTAGGGATTTGATTTGAAGTCGATGACGGGACTGACCCAGCCACCTTCTTGTCTATCCTATTTGAATTAGCCTGGGTTCCTCCCTCAGCGCGTTTCACTACTGCTCGTTCACGATGTCCATCTTTGCTGCTGGAGGCTTCCTGTGTCTCCAGCTTCTTGTGCGCACGTAGTTTTTCGTTGTCAGCATCGAGTTGGCGTACAAAACTCTCTTCTTGCTTGAGCGTCGCCTCTCTTTCCTTCAGTTGTCTCTGAAGCTCATGCATCTCCTCGAGGTACTCATCGTACATTCCCTTAGCTGTCAATCTCCAGTACTCAGCCTCCTTCGACTTCTCGTCCATCGTGCACCTTTCCTCTTGTTTCTCTTCTTTGACCTGGGCTAACTCCAAGATCGCATCCTGACGATGACCACCTTCGACAGCAATCATCTGGTCCTTCATCGACACGTCGGACTCATACTGTTTGACGATCTCTTCTTTTTCGCGAAGCAAGCAATCTGCTCTCTTCGATTCCAGTTCCGCAAATACTGTAACGTCATTCAGCCTCGCCATCAGCTGTTCCCTGGAGTCCTCCAAAGAGTACGTCTCGGGGCGCTTGACGAGTGAATGCTCCAACTGTGATTTCAGACTTTGGACCATCTCCTCCTCGTTGAACTTCTCGATAGATGTAGAAGATTATATGCCTCTGATCTGTTGCTGATAAACTGATATCTGTTGTGAAGCCTCACGGTGTATCTGATTTGCACGTATAGCTGATTCCTGCGCGGCCGACTTCTCGCTTGCCATGTAGGATTTCATCAATGCAATTTCCCGCTTCTGCTCCATGATAGTCCCTTCAGCTTGTCTCATCTGTTGCATTATAATATTCGACTCCATGTCTTTCTTCTCCCCGTACTGAAATGCGTTCATTTCCACCTTGCGCATCTGTTGGGCTTCTTCCTCAAACATGCGCCATGCCTCAGCCATGTGGTGTTGGTGGTGACTCACTAGATGTCCCGACTGCTTGCTGGCAATCTCGCATCGTCTTTCCAGCTCCTGGATCCGGATGGTGCTTCCATAGTCTTCTTGGTTAAGATTCGCCATTGCTGCCGACCTTTCATCAAGTGTCTTCTGATATTCCCCGATCTCCACCTCCATCTTATTCTTCTCTTTGATCACGGCGCGAAAATCTGCACTGGTGGGTGATTTTGACCTCCCACCCTTCGACGTCGATCTCACGCCCTTCTGCGACGTCCGTGGTGTCGCAGGCGAAGATGATGATCTTCCCGGTGGGGATTCTCTTTTCTTCGACTCCTGATGAACATCGATCTGCTTCCATGATCTTGTGGGAGTAGATATGTCGCGGAATAGCGCGGAACCTCCGCTCCCAGGTTCGTCCTGTGAATCTGCAACCATATCCATCACCGCAGGAAGAGCCATCAATCCATTGGATCCCTCTGAGCTGCTGTTCCCAAAAGTTGCAGTACTTGGGCTCGCCGAAGACGCCATTGTACTGTGTAGGTTATCGTTCCTTTATTGTCCCTGTACCCGCAATAAACCAGCTGTCTCCCAGTCCAGTGTAGAGCTTGTTGTTACGGCTGATAACCTGTCAAGAGACGGCAAGGTGACGTCCCGTGGGACGCTATGCACCGAACCCTCAAGCTGTAATACCAACCACGTAGAAAGGTGTATACGGACGATTCCGTTATAGCCGAACCCGTGTAAACGTTGTAAGGGAGAAGGAATGATAGTTACAACAGTAGTCCTGACAAATGCAGCGCAAGCGAAGTGTTTTCGCTCTCAATGCCGATCACGAATGTATGCAGTCACACATCAGATCTTGAACCTCAATTGTGTCTTGAGCCAAATGGCGATCAATGGAACTTGGGAAGCAACACCAACAAGGACCTCAGAACAGCTACCCAATTTCGGCACGGGGCCTAGAGGGTTTTAACAACTTGAATTCCCAGAGCCTGGAAGCAGGTGTCAAATCGTCCAGCTTTTTCGCCAGAGTCGGCATAACCCCAACCCAACAAGCAAAACAGGCTTTCCACACACTGACTAGTGCTCACAGCCTCTGGCGATCTGCAAAAGGTAATGAAGTCGTCGAAGAAGTTCGTCCACACCAAACTCAGAGCACGCGCCCCCAACCACCAAATGGAATGTGAGATGCGCAAAAACGCGTGTACCGCTCGAGACGCACCGAATGGCACCGCAACTAGACGGTAAACCTCAGGCTTTTTAAGATCAGGGTTATAGACGGCAATGTAAGCAAACTTCCTAGCACAAGGCAGAAGTCCTACCTGACGGTGTGCGGACTTCAGATCGTAGGCGGCACCCAGCACATGAGTTTTGCTATCGCAGTTTTGCAGCAAACGCGAACACACAGCCGCCACCACATCTGTGGTATGAGGTTTGGGTGATTCGCACACTTGCACAGTGCTGTTTACTCCACTGCCACTGAAGTTGTCAATCAACCTCACCTTGTTGGCCTGCTGAAGTCCGAATCTGCGATTTAGCACGGCCCCCACCTCTAACTCTCCCAGATCGTAAGGGCCCGTGATCCAGCCTTCGTCTAGTTCCACTTGGGTTTTTCGGTACACCTTGGCGTCGAGCTCTGGCGAACCTGACGAACGCGTGCTGTTGAAGATTGCCACATTGCTGGCGCCTGCCGCCTCGGACAAAGACTCAAGGGTGCGCTCTGCCGGTTTGAAAGAGGCTTCAAACAACCCTGTCATAGGCACTTCCCCCGTGAGCGACACCCCGCGCATCATCTCATCACAAACACCCATGTCTAAGCAGCCGCTTGGGTTTCAAAAGTCCGGCCAATTCCGGGTCCATTTTTGCTTTAAGCAGGGATTCTGCCGGCGCTAGAACCCTAGCTTGATCCGCCCAATACTTGAACCAAGCGGTTCGTTGCTGAGCAAGGTGTGCAGGAGGTGTTGAGCATAAGGTGTCACAAGCATCTTGCAAAGGTCTAGGAAGACAATGCGAAAAGGCTTTGGGGTGCGGCTTGCGTTACAAACTCGTCCTCTGACCACGGCACACCCCAGACCGACTCCGCCCTGGGCACACGGTTGGTCGCAGACTCTGCCTCAGAAACACCCCCCGATGAAACTTCCAACCCCCATGAAACTTCCAACCCCCCATTTACCCGCAATGGCTTGGTGCGTAGCAACTGGCTGCTCTCAGGCACCGTGAGCATGCGATGGAGTCCAGGGTTTCTTGATGCGTTCCATTGGAGCGCAAGGCAACTCCTCTAGCGGTGCATGCACTGAGATGGTCATTTTGTGTTCAGGCACCAGAGGGGGCAGCTTAGAAGCTTTAGGCTGGAATCCGGAAGTCGCCCGCATCATGATCAGCGATGTGTCGTACTGCTGGTCAAGCAGCTGCTGAGCAGGCGGATGCCAACCACGGGCTAGCAAAGCACATGCATATGCTCTTGCGATCTGAGCTGCCAAAGGCCAAGGATATGCGGCCTCCATAGCGGTAGCAAAAACCTGTTTTCCATCCACTATTGCTTCGCCCCAAGGCTTGTGAACGTGTGAGGCGGAAACACCTGGGCAAGCTTGGCAAATCTGCTCAAATTCATCATGATTATGTGCCAGCGCTGTCCATTTCGGCCGTTCACTGCCGTAAGCACAGGCTTGGTGAGCAACAAACCGCATTTCATGGGAGATTTGTTTGAAAAAGGACGTTCTCCAATATAAAGACGAACGTGGGTTTTCAATACACACAAGCTGCTGGTTGGACAAGCACAGCACCGCCAGGTCTGTAACGAATTCTTACAATTTGTTTGCTGCACTCACTCTAGGCTTCAAAAATTTGCGTACCCCCGGGATGCCGTTTGGGAACCTTGTCGACCGCAACGGCTGCGGTCCAGCACCCTGGCGGCCTTTCAAGGGGATCTCCCTTGCACGGCTGGCAGTGCCACAAGGAGGTGCGGCAAAAATTCCCGCACACAAGGGGCTTTTAACCCATTTCATGCACAGCTGTTGCCCTTCCTTCGTAGTCAAATCGGCAAGCCGGACAGCACCTACAGGGTTAACCAATTTATGATCGACACCAAAGCAGTTGGTTAACCCTGCGGCTCGCAAGCACGCGGTGACTCTCCCTGAGCCTGCGAACACTTCAAGTATGAAAGGATTCGTACATTGCACCCAAGAAGTTCTACTCTGCTCACATTCTGGTATCTTGCGGGCCACCGGCTGCTGCACCAGAAAAGGAACATGTGAAACTAAATTACTTGAAACGGGCGGCTGTGGACCAGCCGGCGCTGGCTCAAGACCATCCGGATAATCGACGGTCAAATCTGCATCCAACACGTCAGGAATTTGTACATTGTTCGCAAGGTCTGCCTCCGAGGCATCATCATCAATGGCCTCACCGTTGTCGCGGTTCAGCCGTCTCGCGCTTGCTTCGATTAGTCAGTTGCCGTGTTTTGCCAAACCGTGCGCCTTGAAGCACTTGGCACAAACGTGCAAACCTCGACTGCACGACGCTCCATCTGCTGCTTGGTCGCAACCGTTCAAATTGTAGTTGAAACAGATGGCTTCACCTGTAGGCAAAAATGCGACCCCGGAACGCGAATCTCCATGCTTTTGCCTTTCTTACCAGCGGATCCCTTGCCCTTGCCATAAGGCTGGAATCGTGATCCCTTGCCTTTCCCGGAAGCTGCCTCTTTGGGCGCGGTCTGACGCTTCTCAGGCCGCTTTGGCAACTCCTTTTGTTTGGCCATGGGTAGCAACAGAAAGCTGACTTCATAGGATTCCAAGGCGTGGGCCAAAGCTGTGTCCAACTCCAGCACGCCGGCTTCGTTGCGGCGCGGTTTCACGCAATCTTCAATGAGCTTCGTCCAAACCGCCTTGTCTGCCGCCACCAGTTGTTGCAACGTACATTTGCTATAACCTGGAGGGGGATCTCGGTGTAGGTGGGCGAACAATTGCTGGATGTACTTCTCGTGAATGCTATGCGTGATGCAGTCTGCAAAAACCAAGGCCAACCCACGACGCTTGAGCGCCTCTAGCAGCAACAACCCGCTGCCAGCTTGAGCATCTGGCACGCTGTCTTGCTCCTTCACCACAAGCCGTTCTGCTTCCAACTCAACTACCTTAGTCGGCTGCTTGGCATGGGTAAGCTCATGTGTTCTGCTCACGCACTTCTCCGGTGCAACATACTTCAGCTGATTTGCCTCATACATCTGCGTCACGCTATCCAAGAGCGTGTGACCAGGGTCCATGGTGCCGGACACCAACACCCCGGATAATTTCTGCTTCAACGCCTGCATCTTTGCTTCTCGTTCTGCAACCGGAAGCTTCCTCGAACTCGACGCGTCTGGCGATGTAACTAACTCCTTAAGAGATGCCAGCAAAATTGTCTGAGCTTCGAAGAGAAGCCTCTTTGCACTAGACACACATCCGATGTTGGCCCCTACATCAATATTTGCACGGACCCAGTCGGAAAATTCATTGTCGTTGATGGCTTGCCCAGGCTGCCCAAAACTGTAAGCGAAGGCGCCCAAACTGGCCACGCCTGAGTTCACCAACGAGTCAACATGAGGTGCCGTCAGCCCGACTTCCAGTGCTCTCTTCCTGAAATGGGCAGCACTGTCCACAATGCTGGTCATGGCGATCCGGGTCCAAACAACTGCAACTTCAAGTACCAATGTACCAACATGCACGTGTGAACAAGTTAACAAACACACAAACGTTGCAAGAACATGTTGTGAGCCACATCCATGCTTGAGCCACGAATCTATGGAAACCACTCTAAGGCACATCACATTGCCTTTCATATCACTCACATCACATGAGCCAGTTTCATTAGGCCAGCACATTTTCACACTAGCAGACATCCTGCTTGGCCTTTCACATGCATGAGGGTTACACCACCCGAGCCGGTACATATCGGCTGACAGCAACATCTGCTGTGTTCACAACTGGCTCAAATGGATTTTGCCCTCAGGCACAGTCGGCAGAGGGCATTCCTCTCCGTGCCTTGATCCATTTTCACATAGGCTTCATTAAGCCTTTTCCCACATTTCAAAAATGAATTCATGAATCCATCAAGGTTCTGCTGTTTGGCATGCAGAATCCCAGACTTCACATGGGCAAACCATTCTTCAGCAGCAAGCTGAGCCTGCGCATACCTCCGCACCTTCACTGCTGACAGGATTTATCAGATTCAGCTTCGGACGAAACGCTGTCCGCAGAGCTGGACACCTCATGAAAGGTTTCCATCGAGCCTGAGACATGCACATAACCAGGCTCTTCATTCGGCTCCTGCTTCACGTCAGGCTCACCATCTGCCACCACCACAGTGGCTGGCCGGGCCTGAGATTGAGCGGGGAAATACTCACTTCTCTTGGCATCAGGCACGAAGGTCTTGGCATGGATGTCAAAAATGACCTTCTGCAACGATCTGGTGGGAGCCACCACTAGGTCACGAGAATACAGTGCGAACGTCTCGTGAGTCGATCTAGCATGTCTGCCAAGCATTGACCGTTCATCAGGGGACAAGCCAAATTTGGCTGCCCAGCTCAGAGTTGTGCACTTCAAGCTGTGAGAAGACAGTCTGCCCTCTTGCTCCTTCTGTTCATCACTCACCTGGAGAAAGGCCCGCAGGAATCTGGATGATTCCTGTGAAGTGATGCTTCTCTTGCAAAACCCCGAATCGGCATGAGGTTTTGGCGCGGGAAACAAAGGCCCGTCAATTTGTCCAAAAGGCAAACCTGCAGCTGCAAAAACATCTGAAACATCTTGCACCCACACTGAGCCATTCACACCAATAGCCGGGATGAGGATCGGGAGCAGCATCGTCTTCGAGGCCGCAGACCTTGCGGTTTTGTGCCACGCTGTTTTCACTTCCAGGAAACCTCCATCCTGAGTCCAATTGAATGTCTGCATCTGCCATATAATGCAATCAAAAGAAACCCACAAGCTACACGATCCATCAGGTGTCTGCATTTGTCAACCAATCTTGTGGAGGGTCATCACCTCGCACACATGCAAGGGTCGGGCTTGAGCAAGTAAACCTTTGTTCGTCAGCAATTGGTCTGCAAGTCCCACCAACCGTCTGCTGTTCACCACGTTCTCCAACTGTTCGCAACCCAACACGAAGAACGCGAATCTGAAGGAAGACATGCATCCAGAAGCAACCGTAGCAGCAGCGTGCGAGTCTTTCAAGTGTTTGAAATACATCCAAGCCAATTCTTCTGTAAACGGAGAGTCCACAATCACACACGTGTTGCTGGCCCAACGCAAGAATGCCAACAAGCTATTGGCCCGTTTCATGATTGTGAGAGGGGATCTCACACCCACCATGGCTCGCACATTACCAAAAATATCTTCATCACCAATCTCACATGGCGGTTGGTATCCACTGCTACCAGTGTCAAACTTCTGGAAGTCCCCCGGATATTGTTTGACAATAGTCACCCATTTGTGAACAGCCGCTTCGATGATAGCTCGTTTGTCGGCTTCAGTCTTGTCCGCCAAGCTGAACACCGCCTGCAAAAATACGGCTCCGCCCACCACGGGAATGTCCGGTTTCACAGGATTGGCACCACGCACTTCCAAGCTGCTTGAATCTGGAAGAGGTGTCAAATTGCATGAAACCGGCATCCTCGGCACTAAGTCATTGACAGCGCCGTCGTCTGAAAATTGTTCCTGTAAATTCCGGTTTCCCATGGCAAGCGAATAGCCGACCACTCCGCATTAGAGAGAAGAGTAATACTCTCAGCATCCACATCTGAGATTTCATTCGTATCACACATCTCACCCCTTCTTGACCGAGGTCTGTGCTGTTCAACGCAAGCGGGACAAGGATGTCAAAAACTGGCGCGAAGCACGTTGCTGTAGGTACATACCAATGTTATGAAAGAACCGCTGCAAGCGACGTAAGTTGCGAATGTGCAAAATAAATCGACGCCAGTTGTGTACTGCAGTCGCGTTTACACGTGACAGCCAGGAGCCCATGCAAAAAGCAATCGGCAATCTACAAAATTACCGAGAGAACCCACCCGCCACACCGTAGGGCCAAATGTTGCACACTCAAGTTTTCGAGTTTGAGCATTGTTTCCACACCGTGTGTGTTTGTGAAATACACAATTCACAAACAAGGAGGGGGGGGTTGGCTCTTTCCCTAAAGCGTTATCAAGCTTTAACAACTTGCAGTCCAAAGCGCGTGCAGTGTCATGCTGACATTTGCCCTGGCTCGCTTATACCGGGGCTGAAGCGGGGGTCAACGCACCTCCTGCTCCAGGCGCACCCGTGCCCTGGAAGCAGTGCTACTTTCAGCAATCCCGGTAAAAAGAACTGCGGCCGCTGGCTTGGTTGTGAGCATCCTGTCGCCTCAGGGAGGGACCTCTTTTTTAGTCAAAGCGGCTTGATTTGATGTCAAGCTGCTGGCTGACGCAGCCAGGTATTCTGGTTGCCAATTGCTCCTTTAGCCCAGAAGGCTGTTAACTGCACGAAGAGTTGCAACGGCCAGGAGGTCGTGAACATTTGTTAGGCTTGCTTCCGTTCCGAATTGTCAGTGGTTGAAGGCATACTGAACGAGTGCCCACCACCAATATGGCTGTGGGTAGCTTGGAGCAGTGCCAACTGCGCCAGTGTCTCGAAGCACGCAATGTACCGCTGTCCAGGCTTGACGGCTGAACTGGCGAGCTGGAAGCACGAAGCCAGACATGGGCACTTTATGGCGCGCCCGAAATTTCCAAAATTTGGAGCCCACTGCGATCCACAGGCTGGGAAGATTGTGGCTTGTTTTGAGACTTGTTCACTCTTTCACAACGGGGGCGGCTACGACTTCCACTTGCTGCGCTGCATCGCACGCTGGGCTCTCCTGTCAGCCGGGCGCTCGAAGAGCTCGAGCACGCGACAACGATGCCACCAAGAGCAAGGCGAAGAAGGAAGCAACAGCGAGTTTGAGAACGTTAAAGGTCGCGTCCAAGGCAAGGCGCTCCAAAGGGTCCGCAGCTGAGCCAATTGCGGCCATATCTAGAGGTCGTTATTTTGCAGCCCACGCCTGCGTTTTAGTTTTGAATTCTTCGCAGGTCGTTTCCTGGACGGACGAGTGTGAAGCCTGTCAGGTAGAATAATCCATTTGGAAAACCGCCTCTGCACTTGCTGACCACTGCATCCTCTTGCGACCAGTCGCAGGACACTTCACAACATATCCAGGCGGTGACTGATGTTCTGACTGCTGCTGCCGGACTCCAGCCAGGGTACAGAGAGCACGCACTAGACAGGTCTCGAAACCTGCATTTCAGGGAGCTTGTGGTGCCAAAGCGATTGCTTGGTTGTGGCTTGCAATTGGTCCAACTGACAGGTATCGTGTTATGAGGCATGAGTCTTTCAGAAGGCAACTTGCTACAGTGGGCAGGACACAGACTGACTCCACCACATCCAAAGCTCCAAATCGCCATAAGAAAAGATGTTTGACAGGTGGCAAGAGCACTTTTCTCGTGAGAGAATCAAGTCGTTTTTCTCACCTTCCAAATCCCGAATCAATTCTGGAGAGGCCGCAACAGCTCCAGGAAACATGGAGGTAGTGCTCCCAGCACTCCACATGTTTCCTCAGGAGTTGCCATGGCCTGATAGTGATGATGAGTTGTTGGATTCTGTCCCGAGTGATGGGCCCAGCGTATGGGTAAACCACCGCGGCAAAATCCCAGTTCGGTATCTTGCTGACTGCACATCAACACTTTGCTACATTGCGTGAATTCCTCGCCTTGCTTCCCAAGGCGCCCTCATCTTCTTTGGCAGGCTCTCCGTGTCAGGACAACACGACTGTCGGGAGAGGAGGGGGCAAACTCGGCATCACTGGCACTAGGAGTGTGCATTACCATTGTTTACATTGTAATGTGTGTGCTCCAGGAACTTGGAGCTGCCCAGAGTCGTCCCCATGCGAGAGCACGGACAGCGGCAAGGGGGAGGAAGTCTGTTGAGGGAAGGTCGGGCCAACCCTGCGAGCCACATTGCTATGAAAGGCCTCAAAACTGCCAAAGTAGGCAATATGGTACAGGAAGTGCCGAGGGTGGTAGGCACTGGTAGTGAATCGGATATTGCCTCTGGACCCAAATCTTCCAAAAGTGTTTATTTAACAGAACCATGCTTAAATCATCGATGTTCGTTGGAAAACATTGTTTATTTAAACACTTTTCGCTTAACTAAGCATTGTTTCATGGTAACATTGCTTAATTAAGGACTTTTGCGGTCTTAATTAAGCATTGTGCCGCTTAAATAAGCAATCATTGCTTAAATCGTGTTGATATATAAAAATGTCAAAATGCTTAAATAAGCAATGTTTTTAAGCAATGTTTTCAGCATGATCACGTGCACGCATGTATATCGATCGATCATATTTTTTAATTTCAATGTTACAGCAGGCGTGCAAGAATAATGAGTTGTGAGCTGTGTTCTTGTCGATTTTTTTGTGGTGCAACATGCAGCTGCGTGGAATCACGCGCAGGAATTCATGCGCACCATGCCTGAGCTTCATGACGCCTGGGCGTATACATGCGTGCGAAATTGCAGCTGTTTTGAGAGACCAAGATCAATTTAGCCATGGCCAAAGTTCGTGCTAAGAACACTGCCACTGCCAAAGACATGATGGGTTGCTTTGTCCTGTGGAGTCGAGAGATTGATGTGGAGAGCTTCAGATTGTCAGAGCAGCAGGTCATAGTCCAAAATGAAAGGCTTTTCTCTGAACTCCTTGAGAAGACGGTCAGGCCAGGACAGAAGGAAGTGCAGCAGGGTCTGAGTATGGCCTATCAGATTGGTGTGGACGAAGCCAAGGCTATTTCCAAAAGTATCTGCAATGAGTTCAAGTTTGCTCGAAGCAAAATCCAAAGCTGTTCCAGTGGAAAGAAATTGGAGCCTGCAGTGTGGAAGTTTGTGCAGAGGCTGAAGACTCTTTCTGCCAGCAGCTCTAGCCCCAGCTCTCGCAGATCTCTTGATCTCGAAGGTAGACCTTCTGTTGAGGAGGAGGTGGCTCTTAAGAGAAAGCTTGAGTTCGGCGCACCATCCAAGACCGAAGATGAAATCCTTGCTATATATGCAGCGGGCAGCGCCAATGCAAAGAGCATGGATGCCAATGTTGCCATGACAGGATCCTCTCGAGATGCTATGTCCATATCTGAGTCGCCAAGCGCAGTGGAGTCATCTTCAGAAACAGAAGCTTTCCAGAAAAAGCCGGGCACAGCGAAGCCTTATTTTGACCCAGCAGAAGGGTGCTACATCCGGTTGGCTGAAGAGGGCAAGGTTTCGAGGGGAGTGTTGGAAAGGGGGCCTGCCGGTTTTTGCTTGGTTAGATTCGAAGATGAGGAGCCCTTTCCATCTGAAGTGCCCAACTTGTGGCTTGCTCCGCAGGCTGCAGAGTCAGGGCCCAAGCTCAAGAGGGTTCGAGCCACTGGCAAGGGCAAGGGCAAAGGCAAGGGCAAGTCGACCAAGGGCTCTGTTGCTGCATCAGCTCCTGAAAAAGCTGCAGCAGATGTTGAAGGCAATCCCGGGCAGGAAGCTGGCCCTGTGGAGAGCCTTGCAGCAGAGCCTATTCCTGCTGAGACTTCCTCAGCTTCCAAGAAGATTTTGTTTGGAGTGCATGACATCACTGGTTTGCCTGTAGAAGCACAGCCTCCAGAGGGCTGCAAGGGGCAGCATTCGTACACAGTGAAGCTTGATGATGGAGCTATTTCCATCGACGTCCTGTGTAGAAGCAAGGGCTTTTTCGTGAAGAAGCCTGAAAAATGCAGAGTTCAGTTTTCTTGGAGTCTCTATGACAATCCGGCAGATGCTTGGTATGCTTGCGTTGGAGCATGCAGAGATCATTTGGCG